ATCTGTGGATGCATTTTTGCACCATCTAAAACTTTTGAATGGAATTAAGAAATGGTTTTGTTTTATTTTGATGTTAGCTGAATTTTAGCCTAAATATATATGTAGAAGTTTGTATATTGGTTCAAATATATGCATAAAGAAACCATTGCTGTACCACTGCGTTTTCAGGGACCGCCAGTGTTCTGCATGTGTTGAAGAAGTTGTGAATTTAACTGTTCAATATACATTCTAGAAATAGTAATCCAATCCATTATATCTTAGTACTGTATTTTTAATATCTCTTTGTCCAAGGAAGATGGAGGCACGCACATACATTTTCTCCTTTTCCTTTTATCCTTATTAAACCTTATGAAGTAAAGTACACTGAGCTAAGAGCAAATGACTTAGCTTTGAGGTTAAGTAAGGAACCTGAGCCTTCCCAATTATGGATCAGTTGGCATAGCAATGGCTACCTCAAATAACTGCCTTGATAAGCAACCCATAACTCCCTTATAAGTCTTGTGCAAGTGCTCATGTATGCTTCTGTTAAAATGCTTCTGCAAAGTGGGCATGCTTCATACTGTACAGAACAATGCTCAGGTAGGGAACTGATCGTATATACTACAAATTTAAGAAGGAAGGTATTTCCAAGTAGAGAATATTTAATAGGAACAAACAAACAAACACATATTTAATAGGGCTGTTCAGTAACTGCTTCCTTTTTGGTAGGGGAAGCAGTACTTAAGAGTGAGAAGTATTACTGTTGCTCACATCAGCATTTCAGTTCTGCTCTTTGGCTGTAATTTTCTAATTAATTTGGCTTTGTTCTGTTTTTTAATCTTGATTCTTATCCATCCAGGTTTGGCAAAATTAAATATTTATGTTCAAAAATATTTACACAGCATTTCAATCTTTTGTCAATCAAGATTTCTTTTGTTCTGCTATCATACTGCCCATACACAGTAGTATTGCCAATCTCTTTGTTTTTAAGCAACACTTTTATTAATGTTCTTTAAACCCTATTATTACTGGTCTCATGAAAACACAAACAGTATAGGAAACCAAATATATCTGGTTTCATGCTTCTCGAACTAGAGAGAAATAGCCATTTATAGAAATTCTTGCAGATTTAGTGCATGTTATATTTGCCCATTACTTAAGGAATGGACCGGAATTATATTTTTAAGTATATTCTGTGGATCTAGTTTATTCTGACCTATTGGAAATCTTTTTGTCATCTAAAAACAGTGACACTCCTCCTTTCTCAGAATCTTACTGATGGCATTAATTAATTTTCTAGCCCTATATATAAATTTCTTACAAGAACAAGCATTATTTTTCTGTTGTAGTATTACGTTTCCCTGCAAACATGGTTGCCTGTAACCTAAACTACTTCCTTATGCAGAGATTCTGGTCTATAAAGTATTGCCGTAGAATTTTTTTTATTTATTAAAACAGGGTTGTTTTCATGCATCTTATTCCGCTCTAAAATTAATGGTTGATAATGGACTTTAAAACCCTTAAGGAATTTATGGCAAAGCTGACAAATCCTGACAAAGTCTTAATCACATTTTAATCTATCCTATAATATAAGTGGAACATTTTAAAATGTAGAAAATGTAGGATTTTTTAAAAAAATATGTAGTATGACTTAATTTTCAATTATTACGTGAGGCTTTATAATATTCTTTAGATTCCTATGTAATTTCTACAGGGTTTGTTGAATATTCATGTACATTGGATATACTAACTTCTTTTCATAATATAAGCTACTAACCTCTCCAGCTTACTTATTTTTTCAAGTAACATCTATTTAAGATTTTTTTTTTTTTTTTTTGCTTTGGTCACATTCCATAACATTTATGTACATTTCTGCTGAATATCTTCATGAAGCCTTTCAGATTTTTAATGTAATTTTCTAATGTGTTTGCTTCTTTTCCTCTTTGAAGTAGTAGAGTACAATGAAATTGATTTTTGAGCTATTTATTATAGTTCTTTTTATCAGATTTTATCAGTTCTTTTATCATCCATTAATAAAAGTTTATCCCAGTTCTTTTATTTGACTATTTATAGGTATCTGTTATACTACTACTTAGGTATATTTTTTATTTTATCTTAAAACTATAATATCAAGAAAACATATAAATATCAAACCACTAGATTTATAAAATTAAAAATAATAGATGTATTAATTAGTTCCTTCAAAATATTAAATTATTTTTGCTTCATACTTGCTTATCTCATTACCCTTGTTTTGAAGTGTACTAACCAATTGAATGCTGCAGCCCATTTATAATAGTCTAAATAAATAATAGTAAGCCTAAAGCCTATCAGTCAGAAAGCCACATATTTTTTCAGTAATGAGGTGAGATGCAAACATGCCAATATTTGCTTTTTTATACTTCTGATACATTATTTTACTGATTATAATTAAGACTTAAAATTGCTACTTTCACTTCCAGCAAATCAAATAATTTAATCCAGTGTAATGGAGATCATATATTTTTGTAATTTTGAACCCTATTAAATCTATCAGCTAATTCTGTGCTGTATTCTGAAAATCCTGTAACTTTTAACCTGTATCAGAATTTCTCATGTTCAGCTTCTTTCAACTTTACACCCTTATGATTGTTCTCTTAACTCTTTAGATTAATTTTTTCTTCATCCAGGGTAGCTTTTAAAACTGGGCCATTCAATTTTAATTCTTTCTTTCCTCCCTAAAATTTATTTTGTCTCATTTCTTATGTTCTACTAATGTCATTGTGTGTGTCATTTTCTTATATTTTAAACTGCCTAATAAAAGCATTTCACCTGCTTGTATTGGAAGTCTACCTTCAAAATCTCATCCTTATATGATTATCTGTAGTGGGGTTTTATTTGGACCTGTATCACTAATATCAGTAATTAAAAACAGATGAACAAATCAAACTGAAGTATAAATTTTCATTGCGTGCAATACTGACATTGGAATTAGTATCAAAATTTAAACTTTACCTTCTAAACTTTACCCTTTATTCCACATTCAAATAGTATTTGTTATTTTAAATAATCCCTTATACAGTAGTTTACATTTTATATATATTGTGAATTTCATCTTTGAAATAAATTCAAGAAAAATCACTATTGCAAAAATTGTAAATAACAAACACCTCTTTTTAAAAATCCTCTATTGCTGTATTCTCGATATCATACTACTTTGCAGCTTTATGTAAGAATATATATAAATCCATTGGGATTGTGCTGGTAGACAAATCAAATAAATAAAATATTATATATTCCAGTAACTTTTTTACTAATTGTGAAAACAATACATGTAAAACAAGTCTTCACCATTAGCTGCCTAATAAATTACAATAAGTTCTTTTAAAATTCCTTTTTAATAGCTGACAATATTGATTAAATTTCTGAACTTTAATAATGTCCTATTCTAGCTGTGGCATTCTCTGAAAGACAGTGCTAAGCAGTTGCAGTTTTCATTTTATGCTTATGCTATATAGCATGTGCTGGTATTACAGTTTCCAACCTTACACAGTTCTTAAATATTGCTACTTATGAAAATGGATCTCTGCAGCTTACCGTGTCCCTTTTCTGCCCATTCCACCATGTCCATTCCACCAACAAAAATTGAAAGCTCACCTGCCATCTGCTACAGTCTATCAGGGACCCAGCAAAATACCTCCCACCTTTTAGCTTTTTGAAATAAGTTTGCTGTGAATCCTTTGCACAGGATAGCTATAAATACATAAAATCGTCTTTTTGGGGGGAGGGGGTGGCTTAATGTAATTTGAATAGACTTTTCAATTGTAGCCAAATAGTAGTAGAGAAGCACTGACTATGCATTTTAATTTGGGGATAAAGTTTACTAATGAAAGCATTCCTTAAATGTATGCTTCAGAAATGTGTCTGGGAGCAAGCAGAGCAGGATTTATATGACTCTGACACCATTGTATTTCTGGATGGAAGGTGTCAGCTTTGGAAGCATTTTAATTGTTTTACCTAATCTACTTTAATCCAACTCTGTTCTTTCTAGATTTAGCAAAAGCTCTCTGCATTACCTCTTCATCATTAGGCAGAGCTTAATTCATCACTTTCTTTATTTTCTTTGCTCTTACCAGATTACTAATAACATTTTGCATTTGCTATAAGAATGTTCACTGGTGTGGTCTATAATCCTCCTCCTCCCTCTCTTCCATTCAGAGGCAACCAAGAATGAGTAAGTGCTCTAGACACCAAGGGGCAATAGATGTGGCAACTGGTGCTTAACATTGGAAATGTCCATTATTAGCACATTCCCAGGAAATGCTGTTCAGATTATCAGGAGGAAATGTCAGGACATTTAATAATCACCCTTGAGGAGTTCAGTGTTAAGTGTAGATTCCCTTCCTCCCACCCTTCCATTTTCTTCAGAATGTTCATTGTGTACTTTTGGATTCCAAAAGCAGACATGGAAGCCATACAGAGCAACACATCCTTAAATTCTAATGTTTGCTTGGTTGTGTTACTAAAGCTAATGATAATTTGTTTCTCCGCATTGCACATTTATAACAGTTATCTGTGATTGGCAGTCTTCACCTGTACGTCAGGTTTTGTTCATGCTTTGTAAAGTATGCATAATATGTACTAGTGTTAAAAGCACATATTTGTAATGAAGATTGACTTGGGAATTCTGTTTTGACATCTTTCATCTTGCTTTACAGTTAGTGTGAACTTGCTTTTTGTGCAGCTATGAGTGTGTACAGCTCTGCTGTATAATATGTAACTTTCTCAGGTTCACTCCCTAATATCCCACATAAATGATTTTTAGGTTGTAGCGTTAGGATAGATCTCACTGACATTTACTGCTAATGAACTGTCTTAGATAGCTTAACAAAAAAGTGACATTTTTCCTACTAGGACTAAAGAACTAGCTGTTCCATTTTACAGTTTGGGGAAGAGTTGGCTTCTACTTGCCTGTTTTTCCAATTATTCTCTTTTTATCATGGGCTGGTAATGATTTATTAATGTTTTTGTCTCCTTTTTAGGGCAGCCTCGGAACTTGCAAGATCTCTGTCGAATTAAAATCCGCCAGTGTATAGGCCTTCAAAACCTCAGACTTCTTGATGAACTACCGATTGCCAAGGTCATGAAAGACTACTTAAAACACAAATTTGATGATATCTGACAATTTGCAAGAGTTGGACAATAAGCAGGATTAGTTTGTATTCCAGATACCTTTCAAAGGCTGGTCACCTTGCACAACGTATATCCTATGCAATTTCTGATTTTTTGTTTTTTCCGAGAAGTCAGAAGGCAGGTATACAATTCCTTTTTTTGGGGGGGGGGCTGTTTTATACCAAATGCTAGGAGGTCTTAATTTTTTGAATTCTTGGTCCAAGTTTACAAGATTCAAGCTTTCTATACAACGTTACAATTGTGGGATTGGGTTTTATTTTGCAGGGGGCATTTTTTAGCATCACTTTTAAGAATGAAGAAGGAACATTGCTTGTTCAAAGGAAGTCTTCCCCATCCCTGTATAGCATGTGTAATACTGTGAGAGTGCTGAATGAATGCTAAACCAAATAAGGGTGAAGCTTAAGAGAGCAATCTACCATGTGTTGCTATTGTATCTCTATTGGTAGAGAATCCTAGGCAGACCCTGCTGCAAAGAGTTTCTGTAGCAACACTGATTGGTAGATTAAACCCTCTAGCACTATTCCTACAAAAAAGACCAACACAGCGCCTATTTATGCCTCATGAGGAGTGCTGACAATTGATTGGATTCCACATGGACACAATTTTCTGCCCAGAGGGAGGTTATTTTTTAGAATCATGGCTCAGGCGTGTAACTAGGATGTTCAGAGTTTACTATAGACATGGCGACTCTTTGAAAACATTGCCACCTTCATTCTTTTTTTTTATTCAAGTTAGATCTTCTGCATAATTATTGTACTTCAGATGTCCATACTTCTTACCCTTCCTTTGATGCCAGTATAAGTGGACTGCTTTTTGTAATTAGGTTTTACACTGCTCAGATACTTTTGTGGTCTCTCTGCATTATAAAAGCATTAACAGAAAACAAATTTAATTTCAAAGCTGACATATCCTGTTTCCATATAGTGCCTCATGTGCAATATATATATTTTTTATTTTTATTTCCTGTATCACACATGTGACTTTCACACATTCCTATCCTGACCTCAGTGTGATGTTTGTTACTATTGGGATTGCTGCTTTATAGTTGTTGGGTTTTTTGTTTTTGTTTTTTGTTATCACCACCTTCATTTCAAAGACATCTGATTTCAAATACTGTGGCTCACATCTGAGCTGTCATTTTTTTTCATACAACAGGCTAAGTCATGGTTTTCTTAGATCAAAATCTGAGCTAGCAATTTGTTTTTAATTTTTTTAATGGGGTCCATGATTTGTTTCTCTGACATACTTTCAGCTTGTTTGATGTTAAACAGAGCCTTAGGCTGATCCAAACTCCTCCTCTACTTATTCAGGCCATGTGAAAATCATTCACAACTCGAAATACCTGCAAATGTGAATTATGCATGCACAGATCTCTGTACTATCAACAGAAAGGCATGTAAAACTGAAATGTGGAGTTCGTAGAATGTGAATTCTGTGTGTGGGTATAACTCACTTTTCATAGGTATGTTGAACCTCAAGTGGTTGATCATATTCAATACACAGCTAACATCACTGCTGGGCCCTTTCTGAATACCATATCCTCCCTGTCAGGAAAATAATTCCATAATATTGCTAAAGCCGAGTTGTGCTTTGTAGCTTGAAACTAATCCTTGATTACAGTTTAGTTCTAAATATTGGCTACTGTGAATATCTTAGATAAGTCTCTTATTTTAAGGGAGTTGAGATCATTATATAAATGGGTTTCTGATTGTTCTTTATCAGCATCTAATCTTGAAACTTGGAGTGTTTGGATTTTAGCTCAGATTCAGCATTGATTATGTTGCAGAAATGCTGTTGGTTCTCATGCCTGAGTGTTTCAGGTTTTGAGGCACACATACATACCCCACACCCCATATATCAGTTTTGCTATATAATCAGTAGTTCGTAAGAGCAGCACAGTATGCCTTCATGTAAGGATCTCTTTTCTTGCTTTTAGTGGATTTTTAAGGAACAGTGATAGTCAAGGGATTCATTGCTCCTTTAGCCTCGGTTTTATAGAAGCAAGCAACAAGTTGATGGCTCAGTGTAAGGTAACAGGCTAATAGCACTTTCCCTCCCTTAAATACTTCAGTAGTTGCTAGAGGAAAGTGCAGTGTTTGCTGAAATGGCCAATTAATTTATTTTTTCCTTTTAACTTGTGCCATAGCCAAGTCAAGAATGCAGTTGATATAGATATACTAGATGTAAATGCAGTGCTATAGACAGTAAGATCCCCATCTTCACATCAGCAAATAGCTATTGTTAAGTTTCAGTCTTCTGAGAAATGTTTAAATCCTCCAATGGTCGATCTCTTATGATTTTTAGGTACTTTGGTATCTAAGGCCCCAATCCAGAGGAAGTTAGTTGTGCTTAAGTATGGTGAACTGGCACAATGGATTTGCAGGTCTGAATCAGTTTGCTTGATCTAGTGCATTCTTAACATCCTAGTTATCTTTATGGATGCAGGGATCCATTGTAAGATGATTTTAATTCTGTCTTGCTGCTGTGACTTCAAAAAATATATAAATGCCATGCTGATAACAAAAGAGCTATTTAATGAAGTATGTAACTCCTTTTATTTATTTGTTTGAGGTTTATTTTTGTGTTTCCCCCCATGTTTTAATACTTAGCTCATTTTTATGAAGTACATTTTGAGTTACCAATCTAAAAGTCCTAAACACCACCCTGCATGCCTTCCTTTCTGTGAAGCTGTGTTGGAAAGTTTAAGGCAAAGGGGGAAGGTTGAACTTTGGGTCCCAGTTGTATAGAAAATTAAGCACTTGAGTTATTAAATAACTGGGTAGTCACCCTCCCTCTTTAGTTTTAATGTTCAGGGAATTCCACAGCATATGTACTGTGCTAATTTGAGGCTGAGAGACAGAATGTACCATATACATGCATACCTCTGTGAAAGCTCAACTGGATGAAGGGTTATGAAACAGTAGATTTTAACTTATTTGATCCAACATAACTTCTTTATTAGACTGACAATTTGAAGAGGTGTATAATAATTTATAAAAGAAAATTATGAGAATTTTCTGTTAAATGTTTGGGCTTAAAATATGAAACAGTATGAGTATCTGTGCTAGGCCTGTTATCTCTTCTTGTATGTTTGTCAACTCTTAATGGTTTTTTGAAAACGCAGAGATTGGCAAGCACACCAAAGAAATGGACAAGATGATGATCATTAGGAAACCACAAACCTCATTCTTTTGAAAACAGCTAGAGTTTTGTAAATATTTCTGTTTATAGATGTACAGCAGAGTGTGTTTTTCTAGATTATTTAATTATCATATTTCTAATCTATTTACAATATTAGATACCATATTTGTTTATTCCAAAGGCTTCTGTTTGGATTGTAATTTGTTCCCTTTTTTGCTTAATTCATTACTCATGCTATGAAAAACTTTGTCCTCCTAAGGACAGCATGAAAACATAGTAGCCAAATATTTGTTAATATCTGATACTTTATATAACACAGGGGAAAAGACCCCATGTGGGAGTAACTTTAGCTCCCTACAAATTGTGGTTTGCAAATAAGAGGACACCCACAAGAACATACACTTCCCAGAAAATTCCCAACTCCTTCCCCCATTAAGGCCTTATTCTTATACTAATGCAAAACAGGCTTCCAGTCCTCTTTCAAATTCTAGTTAAGATGTGAATCTTGGCTTACTATTAACCACACTTAGCAGTAGTATAGAAGTAATGCTAAGCTTTGGTTGCAGCTAAGAGTAGAAGGGCAAGAAAGAGTGTAAGGGAGATCAGATTCCTGAGGCTACTTCCTAATGTACTAATCTTATTTATCAGGGAACCGGTAGTCTGCCCGAGGCATTGAAAGTTCTCTTGAAGAAAATAGGTCATTTTTCTGCTCCAGCAAGCTTCTGTTCATTTCAGCACTGTAGGACTTGAGATGGAGGCTTCCACTGTGGTTTCATCACATCCTTGTCAGGTTGCTACGGCGAACCGAGAGAATTTGAGACCCCAGTCTGGTTTGATCAGGTCAAGTCACAACTGTCACTGTGGGAAGGATAACATACTATTTTGTCTCCTGTTCTGTCTTCCACACAGCTCTTTCCGTGTTAGCAATTTCATAATATATTTTGTTTTTCTTTTGTAATGTAAGGCTTTCTGTTGGGTCATTTTGAATTAAAATAATTTACCAGTTCTTTTAAATTTGGTCATCTTCTCTCTATCTCTCTCTCCCCCCCCCCATTAGTCCTTTAAATGTTTTATATTGTAATGATTGAGAAATACCATCTCAGTGCCTGTCTTTTAGAAAATTACTGTTTGGATTTATGATTTAATTTTATTATTTATTGAACGCGGATTCAGCAAGCATGATCAACAACTTCAGATGTGATATTTCACTGCTATCAAAATTGTGAAGCTCTCAGATCTGGAGAGCACTTATTTTCTGATAATTTAAGTAATTGAATACATAAATAGAATAAATTGATTTAAATTAGCGGTTTAAATTGCCAGTATGAGAAGTCAATTCAAATACTTGATTTTAATCATATTTCATTTACTAAAAGTTTTCTAATTAAAATAGCGTCCTGACATTGCTGTAATCATGAAAATACTTAAAACTGACCCCCTCCCCCCAAGTGGATTTTCTAACTTTCTTTCAATATTTTAGAAGCAATGTATGGTTGCATATTTTTAGAAAACATTATTGGAGAAACACATCACAGGTGTTTTTTATTAAGCATATTTTGTTCCCATGCCACAGTGATAATCATCATTCAGTCACAGAGATTGGCATTGTGCAGATCAGGGTACTCTGTGATACAGAAGGTAAATGTCCATGGTCTGTGAGAAATGAGTCAGTAGCAAATTTATAGTATGTAACTATAGCAACAAAAGATGTCATTGTTAGATAAGGGGACTGGATAACAACTATGATCACATGCCAGATCCTGGCTGCCAGTATCAAGCCACGATGTAGGTTCATGAACTGTGGCATTGTACGGTTAGTAGTGGTGCACATGTATTCCACAAAGATTCTCCTTTAGCAGTACATAAGGGAATCATGTTCAGATGGTGCCTGGATCAGTTCAGCTTTCAGTTTAAAACAGGCTATTACTAAAAAGAAACAGATCGGCTTGTCTGTTGCTTAAAATCTGAGCAAAGAATTGCCCAGGTAGGGGAGCTTCTTCACTCAGACCAAAAAAAAAAAGCATGCAAACTGCCATTTTTGATGTAGCAACTGCTCTTGAGATATATTGGAATAAACTGTGGGAGAGGGTTGCTGGTTCAGATCAGAGACTCTTGAGTTGGGCAGCCTTAATTGGCTCCAAAAGATTGGATCCTGCTTTTCTTGCTTCCAAGTCTCTTACCTTCGTGCTTTCTACTTGTCTGGGACTCTCTTCCTCAATACTTCAGCTGAAAAGGCTACAAGGAAGTTGAATAATGTTAAACGTTATTCCCTACCTTCAAGCCTACAGTCCAAAAAAGATAACACCAGTATTCTGGCTGTCAGTATCTCAGCTGCTCGGTATCTCCTCTCAGCTAACCAGTCCTTCAGTCTTTCCTACTCTGCAGCCCCATCTCTTATGCATTGTCAGGCCTATCTGAAATACTCCTGTGAGTTCCGAACTGGATGTTTCCTTCTGTATCTCCTTCCCCAAGATGATGATGTTGGCCTCTTATATCACTACAGTGGAATGCAGAAATAATATAATAACAATAATAAAATTTTATATATATTTGAAATATACATGTTGTATGTTTCTGTTCCTGTTAGCTCTAAGGGTTTTACAGCCTTCTAAAAAGTTAAAACAAACAAACAAACAACCATTTATTTAAAAAGCAAAAGAATAAAATAACTATAAAATAGCTTGTAAACAGCATCTGTATTGTAAAAAGGATAATTCTGAACTGAGTAATAGAAACGTTTAAGGAAACAAAATCAGCTTCTAACTGGTTCCTAAAGTGAGTAGCATATTTTATTGCCAGCATTTGACAGTTTCAGTGAAAGAATACTCTGTGTAAAGTACTTTGTATTTCAAAGTGTTTTGTTGCTTTTAGTTGCCCTTTAAGATATGTGGAATATCTTCCCATATATTGGAAGAGGTAGTGGTATCGAAGGACAATGACACCGGACTTCATTTAGTCAAGGCACCGACATTTTATCCCAGGATGAGAAATTACAATCCAGATATAAAAAATAAGGATTTCCATGTTGACATTTTAGAGTTTCCTAGGATGAAAAATATGTAGCAGATACCTTAAATTTACTAGTATCCAATTAGTAAACAAACTGTTTTATTTTCTTTGATGAGAGAGCCAGAGCTATTTGCACAGATCAACCCTTTTTGGTTCTCTTTCTTGGCAAAATATTTATGCAATTCCTACTGATTTCTTAATACCAGGCCATAAATTATGCTCTGGTTTATATATAGTATTTCCTCTGTTTGTTCATTTCTCAGCCGAATGCATATTGTTGTTTACAGAAATGGTAGACCTGCAAGCTGTTCATGAAAATTTTATCCAAGTGATAGTACATTCCTTTCATAAATATAATTGGCTTCCGTTATATAGAAATTGGCTTGTTTTTCTGATGATGGGTTTTCTAATGAGGCATGAGTACTTTCCTGCTTTTTTGTTTAATTAAACTGTTAGGGGCATATATACTGGATTTATTTTGCCTTTGCAGATAGAGAAACTTTGTTCAGCTGCTGAGGAGCTTAGAGTCCTTAAAGCAAAGATGATCAGCCAGCATCGCAGGGCTTGAATTTGGTATCAAGCCTCCTATAACTTGCCCTGGGGTTCCTGTGAATCTAATTGCTTGCAAGAAAAACAACATTGCATTGGACACTACATTAATGTTAAAATTTTCTTGAGTTTGCTTGTAATGCCCAAGTCTGAATATATATGCTGTTATAGTATTAATAATCATTTTTAAAAGACTCAAATTGAGCTCAATGTCTGGTAACTACATGGAGACAGTCATGAAGTTTTCTTGGCAGCAGTGTAGAACTGGTTTGCTCTTTCTCCCTTCTGAGAATTTTTTTGTCCCCAAATTATCAGCCTAGTTTATAGCCCTGGGCTTTCCAGGCTAGTATCTCCCACAGAAATACTAGCCTGGAATAACACTGCTTAGCTTTTCAAGAACAACCAAGGTTGTTTAGGTGCTGCACTAGGAAATCTTTTGAAAGTCTCTTTATACATTTCTTATTGTTTACATAGTATTTTTTCCACACCATGCATAATTTTATGCATTTCTCTCACATCCATGTCCCCCATCTGATTTGATTTCTTTTTCTGTTAAGAAAGTGTGAGCATTATTATTACCTTTTGTCATGAAATAATTACTTTAGTTTTTTTGCTCATTCAAATTGCCCCTTTCTTTCTCTTTTCTGTTTTTACAGTATTCCCCAGGAGATGTTACCAGAGCATGGCCACATCACTGATTGTTATAAAAGACTTATAATATTGACAGCTTTGTTATCAGTTTCTTTCCAAATAATCCCCAGCATTCACTTTGCCATTTTACACCAGCTGTGAATTGAGTTAGATGTTTACACTGAGCTGTCTACCACAACCACAGGATTCTTTTCCTGATTAGTCATTGCTTACAGAAAAACATATTTCCAGTTATAATGCTTTTCCACCCCAATATACACACAGAGAGATCTGGAGTTCTTTTCTCTGGGTTATTGCTCTGCTCTTCCCTAGCTTCAAATCCCTTATGAGCAAGAGAAAAGCACTAAGCGATACTTCCTTGGGCTTATATCCCTCTGTTGTTACAGCTGTCCATTTATTCTACTGCTCTGGAACCTTTATAACATGTGTCTCATAAACTATGTCAGCTAATCAACCCTTTGTCTGACATTTTGATTGACTCCTCACCGTGGTTGACAGCTTCACAATTCAGACCACTCTGTTTACTTATGCCTTTTGTCCATGTACAGTAATTACAAGACAACATGGAGGGAGATAACTGAGGTACCAAGGATGACTCCAGCCAGAGGTGCACAAGACAATGACTTACTACGTTTATATTCCATTTTTCCTCAAAGAGGTCAAGGTGGTGTGCATAACACTCCCTGCTCCAGTTTGTTCCTGCAACAATAAACCTGTGAGTGGGTTAGTCTGAGATATTGCAACTGGCACAAAGTAAACAGTTTCCATGGTTGAGATACCTTCATATCCTCAGTCATCTATCAACATCTTAACCTCTGTACAGTCTTGAGTTAAGGAGGAACTTTCCTACAGATACTGTGTTAGCTTTTTTCCTATATGATTTACACCATACAAAAATATTAAATAAAAATATTTAATTTATAAAATGGAATGCTAAGTTTAGCTCCTTAAAGTTAAATTGACTGTAATAAATATTTGCAAATGAGAGGTTTTTAGAATGCAGAACTGGGTTTTAGTGGAAAAGTATTAGAACTGTATATTCAGTGAGGGAGCAGGATAGCTTAGGTGAGTATGTATGGCAAGTCATCCAGAATAAAGCCTCAAGAAGAAAACAGTTCAGTCTAGCACAATGGGGTTACTTATCTAGTTCTACAGGGATCTTTTAATTTTGTGACTCAGCTTTTCTCATGCTTCTCCTTGTGTCAATGAAATACATTGTCATGACTGCTATTGTCTAGGCCCCCTCTGGGTATAATAACAGACCTTTAACCGCCAATTCATATCAGGAATATTATTGATCATTTGATGTATTGTGAAAGTTGATCCATTTTATCTACCAAATGGATTCTTCCAGTACTTGATAACGGCTTCAGTATATTTTTTTCCCAATTTCATTTACCTCTAAAACAACTATTTTTAAAGAACAAGACATATTGTGGCATTAATATATTTTCTATGGTATAAAGTTTTGTGGTCAAGAACTAGTTTCTTCAGAAAGAAGAAATGTTGGTTATTTTGAACAGCTATACGAACTTATTTATACCCAACAAGTTTTGACAGAATCTCTTAATCATTTGAAGGCACTTTATCCTATACACTTATTACGTGCCATCAAGTCGTTTTCGACTCCTAGCAACCACATAGATAGAGTTCCTCCATGACCTGTACACTTAATATTGAACTAAATGGGACGTTCTTCTGAACAGAGATACAGTATATAAGATTGTGCTGTCAATCATGTCTGTTGCTGGAAAGTGGTGGAGAATAAAAATGAGCCTTAAGTGGTTGGTCATCTTCTGTGTTCATGCCTAATCTCCGGTAGGTGATTGCTATGTAATTTGGTTGGTTGCCCCCTCACCATAAATGGGTGGCTACACACACACACAAGTATGGCTGTTATAGCCTTGACTTTTGTTCTTTTTGGTCATTAGGACCCCAAGAACTTTGTTCAAAAGCAGTGAGTGTAACAAATGAACTTAAAACAGAACGTCTTTGTTTTTTACTGATTGCCCTGTTCTGCTTTATGGCAGAGGTTAACACAAAGAATGAATTTGTAGTGACATTGTTTAAAATGTTTTTTTTCCTTGTCTAATTAAAGGGGATGCTTGAAAGGTGACTCAGGTGGCTCAACACCTTGTTCCCGAAATGTTTGGCTTGAGCCTTCAATGAGGCACACAAAGCAAATTGTTTTAAACCCCCATGGGAGGCTGTCTGCAAAGAAGGGAGATTCCATGTCTTTGCTGTTAGATTTAAAAATTAAACTATCATCTGTACAAACTTATATAATTGATTTTCAAGTAGATTGCCATCTGAGACAGCAATCAAAACTGAGTCACTAAATAGCATGTGGAAGAATTCATTTAAAATCACATTTAATTTTCATTATCTAAAAACTGGGAGACTTGACAGAGGGCCTAAATAATAACTGAGGAGATGCCAGTTGAGTGTTCCAAGGTAGGAACAAGGCAAGTTTTATAGGTACCTTACCGTAGCTGAAAATGCCCCCTTTCTTACTGCATCCTACCTGTTTCACTTCTAATAGCAAAAGCATCATAGATGATACCATGACAGCTTACTGCTACATAATAGAAAGCAAATGTTTGATTAGATAATTGTATTCCAAATTGTAAAATTCATGTAGATTGTTCAGAGAAAACTATTGTTAAGGAAATGTGAAAAACAGGCATTATTGGACAGGACCTACTATAACTGTTAGGTAGGACCAAATGTATCTCTTTTTTCAGGAACTTGCAGAGGATTATTTGAAATAAGTAGTGGTATAAATAAGTAGTAACAATTTTTTTTTTTTTT